CAGAGGTATAAAATAGAAAAGGTAGGAACGGAGGTCTTGAAGGATCATAAGAAATTGGTGAAAGCGCTAAAGGAGAGAGACAGAATGGCACCAATGAGAAACTTCTTGGAAGAACAAGTGAAGCAGGTATGGGGAGTTGTGGCAAGTAAACAACTAGGAGGGGAACATGCTGACCTAGCATGTATGATTGTGAGAAATATCTTGCCAGCGAGAGCTGCAACACAGATGGGGCTTGATGACTTCATCTAGATGCTGAAGGGAGTGGTGCAGGGAAGATGAAAGGGGAGAAAATGTCTGTTTTTACTATTTTAGAAGTCCCTGAAGCTGGCTGAGAAGATGAAATGGTGCGACGTGTTCTGGTTGCATGACGTGTACGCATGCAAAGGGGGTATGGGAAAAGGTCCACTGCTTTCTAAGCATCATCAAAATAAACCCGTTGTTAGCTCAGGAGATGGTAGTATATCAAGGGTGGTCAAAATACAGCATTCAGGCTGGATCCAGGCCACCAAGAGATTCTATCTAGTCCATGGGAGGTCCCCCAGCTCCACCCAGATCAAGCACAGGGGGTAGCCCAGACCATGACTCATGCAGCTCATCCCACCACTCCTGGGCACAGTGGGGTGGTGCAGTGGCTGGACCCAGCTTTCTGGCAGCCCCTGTTGCAGCAGATCGTTCAGCCTGGCTGCCGCTGCCAGTGTGTCCACTGCCACTGCCAGACCCAGTCATGCTGCCCGGGCACCACAGCCCATCGCAAAGAATTGCCCACCCCTGTATTATATGGACTCATACCAAAGGGGCTGAAGGAAATTTATTAAGGACTTTATTAGCATGCTTAAAACTAGTTTATGGAAAACTCCATTTATTTAAGGGGTTGGCTTTCACTGAAAGGAAGTGCCTGAACCTGGGGCTGCATTAACTGAAATTGTACATTCATTGGGACAAGTAAGAGATCCGAGAAGAAGCAGCAGAGAAGAAATGCAGGAAAAAGGACTGGACACGCTGGTTTCACTAAACCAACAGAAAGGACTGATGGGAGGGATGGAGAGTTTCAGGTGGTTGCTGAGCTAATAGCTTGTCATAGGTTTCAACATGAAAAAAAAGTTCTGTAACTCTTTTGTGGGAAGCTGATGTATATTGCTTAAGGGTTTAATATATGCAGCTGTATGTTTTTGGATATGTAGTTGTTTTTGCAATATGAAATTTTGGTAAAACAAGGATGCTTAATAGGTGATGTTATGTAAGTCTAGGATGATAAGTGTATTTTTAATATCATTTGTAAAAAAAAAAGTTCCTATCAGCATATTTACCCAATGAGGGCCATGTATTTTATAGTTATGCTCAGTGCAAGCATAATGCTCAGGCTGGATGAATGGACTGTAAGATGGATAGAAAGCTGGTTGAAGCACCAGGCTCAGAGGGCAGTAATCAATGGCTTGATGTCGTGTTGGCAGCTGGTATCAAGTGGAGTGCCCCAGGGGTTGGCCCTAGGGCCAGTTTTATTCAATGTCTTCATCAATGACCTGTAAGATGGCATAGAGTGCACCCTCAGTAAGTTGGCAGATGACATCAAGCTGTGGGGAGTAGTAGATATGCTCGAGGGTAGAGCTAGGAATCAGAGTGACCTAGACAAATGGGAGGATTGGGCCAAAAGAAATCACATGAGGTTCAACACAGACATAGGATGGAACAATCCCATGCACTAGTACAGGCTGGGGGCTGACTGGTTGGGCAGCAGCTCTACAGAAAAGGACTTGGGGATTACAGTGAACAATAAGCTGAATATTAGCCAAGAGCGTGCCCTTGTTGCAAAGAAGGCTAAGGGCATACTGGGCTGCATCAGTACGTGTGTTGCCAGCAGGGCGAGGGAAGTGATTATTCCCCTCTATTCAGCACTGGTGAGGCCACATTTGGAGAACTGTGTTCAGTTTTGGGCCCCCCACTACAGACAGGATGTGGACAAATTGGAGAGAGTCCAGTGGAGGGCAACAAAAATGGTGAGGGGGTTGGGGGACATAACTTCTGAGGAGAGACTGAGGGAACTGGGCTTATTTAGTTTGGAGAAGGGAAGACTGAGATGGGTATTTAATAGCAGCCTTCAACTACTTGAAGGGAGATTCGAAAGAGGACGGAGCTAGACTGTTATCAGTGGTAGCAGATGACAGAACAAAGAGCAATGGTCTCAAGTCGCAGCAAGGGAAGTTTAGGTTAAATATTAGGAAGAATTTTCTCACTAGGAGAGCAGTAACACATGGGAACAGGTTACCCAGAGAGGTGGTGGAACTTTCATCCTTGGAGGTTTTTAAGACCCAGCTAAACAAAGCTTTGGCTGAGTTGATCTAGTTGGAAATGGTCCTGCTTTGAGAAGGCGGCTGGACTAGATGACCTCCTGAGGTCCCTTCCAACCCTAAGTTTCTATGAATATATGAGTGTTGGCCATATTTAATCAACTTCGTAGTTCATAGGTAGCTTCCACTTCTGAGCACATGCTTTTTTGGCAGCAGTTTAATGATAGACCATGTATTTAGTGAGATTTCCTAGAATGTGATTATAAGATGAGGGGCTTTTTTCACCATGCCAATTGGGGGAAAAATCTCATCTTGTACTCAAGTAAATAAGGTAGTTTAGTTTAACAAGTTGAGCCAATATTGCAATTCATATGAAATGTAAGCTTTCAGTAATTTCAGCTTTGTGGCTAGGAAAGTCAAATCATTCTAAATTCCACTAGTATGTTACTGGAGATGCAATGTTTGATGGTATGTTTTCCCAGATTTTATTTCTGTGAATTACATATATCTTGCAGTATATTTAAGTTACTAATATATACATTAAATTAAATTGTTCTTTCAAGCCTTTCTGAAAGTGTGGTATCAATTTGCTTGAAATCCTGTTCAAGTTTATTTGGCTTTTATACACACATGGTCAACTTCCAGTTTTGGGCAGCTCAAGAATTGTAAGAATTTGGCTCTTTTTCAAAAAATTCAACCTTGCAAGTTTTGTGGATTTCAGAATTTTTTTTTTTAATTTCTATGTCAGTATGAAACAGTTGCATGAAACATTAGACTTGAAATTCGGTGATGAAAAATGTTAACTTCTAAGAAAGCTACAAGAGAAGATTCAGCCCAGAAGCCTGTAGGAGAAAGAATTTGGAGGAATAAGTGGTGAGTGGAAAACAGAGTACAGATAGCAACTGGAATAAATTGTTACTGAAAAAAGAAAGGGATAGAGCTGTGAATTCTTGAAAGGGGAAGTAATGGCTTTCTGAAATCTAAAAACTAGTGTAAAGTGAGCAAAGGTTCTGATCATATGGTTCTTCAACTACTAACTAGCCTATTTATTTTATAGTCCTTATAATGTAATCCCACTCTTCTCTCAGGCTTAAACATGTATGTGAGATTGGGATTCCCAGCACCAAATCCCATTCTAGATTTATGAGTAAAATATGGTTTTGGATAGAGATGACTAGTTCATTTTTCTTTTTCAAAGTCTCATGGTGTTGATGTCCTGCTTATATATAACAGCGTAAAGATCGGAATGCTTGATCAGGAAACAGGGATCAGTTTTTATGCCTGTCTCATGTTTTAGCTTGAGGAAGTTAAAACGCACGTCCTCCGTCTCTCTCTAAAGGCATGTCTGTATTGAATAATACAATTTTGTGGACATACCCACACTATCTCTGAATGAGCACACTTGACTCCTCGAAAGTGCAATATCTTCACAGTCTAATTAGCTTTTTGGAAAAACATGATATACTACTATCCTGGGTTGAGCACTACACTAACACAACTACTCCTCTCTGGTACCCAAGCCACATGATCCATAGCTGGTTAGGGTATCTCTGTAAGGTACTACCTATGTTGGGTGGACATACCCAAGGAATCTGGAAGTAGGAGGAACACCTTTCTAGACAGTGCCTCCAGGCAGAGGGAGAACCATTTGTGCTATGTGCTTAGTCTGGGGTTTACAAGGTTGAGAAGGGAGACAAATCCAGCTCTCTTCCCCTCATCACTGTCTCTCTGGTGTTTCCAGTACAGTATTTTCTGTTCTTGCTGCTATGATAGTGGCAAAACCTGGTCTTGGAATACTCTTTTTTTGGAAGGCTGCCAAAATTTTCCTGAAGCAAGAGAAGGAAATGAGAATTTGTAATGCTTTATATTCTACCAAATCTGAAGGGAAACTCAGGGGACAAAATAAAAGACAGTTGTGTAGCCCAAAGTGATCTTCCACGCTGAATATTAAAGGCCTACCATGAACAGTGGAAGTATGAGAGCTTTTCAAAGATCATAAGAATCCTTTATAATGGAAAGTGTTAGGTAGCTTGCATAGAGAGGTCATGACTATCTCTCTCTACAATACAAAAATACACTGTAATTGCAGGGTACAGTATGTGTACAGATATAAATATTTTAATATGTGTGATTTCAGGACAGCTGCATTATTCCTGAGTGGTGATAATATACCACCCTCATGTACTCACATACATGCTTCATAATACCGAAAAGATTATTAAAAGGTGTCTTAAAAGGGTATTTAAAATATTTGATTGAGACCACTATTATGGGTTTCTTTTTATTCCTCTGCCTGTAAAGCCAACTGCCTTTCGTTCTTTCAGTCCAATTGCATGGATCTCAGGGGAACTATAAACGCTTCTCAAAGCAATTTATAGTTTCCTATGCCAAACCTATCACAGTTTTAAAGTTCTGCTATTTCATTCTTGCAGGACTAAAAGTGAATTTGAGGCCCCCACAGAATTCCCTCACACCCAGGTAGATCAGATACATTAAAAAACAGATTGACACATTTGCCAACATATTTCTTTGTCTGTGTATGCACATGCTGCATGCATTTATTGTTCCAAGTCAGCACCTTCTCTGGGCCCAAAGCACAGCTGGTATTATCTGTGTCCATCATCCAGCTGCAAACTCCTCAGGGCACGGACTCTTGTCTGCGTGTACAATGTGCAGTATCAAACAAATGGCAACATTAAAAAAAAACTGACTTACTGGGAGAGTTACTTTTTTCAAGTGGCATTCCTTTTCCAGTAGTCCATAGATATATTTAGTAATGATCTGCAAAAAGGAAACAGAATTTAAGGCACTTACACAAATTGCTCATGCATTCATAAGTCTTAGAGAAGTAGGTTGATCGAAAAGTATTTCTTTCAAATATTTGTGCATATTTTGCTCATATAATTAATTACAAGACGTAAAGCTTCACGAAAAAGGTTCCTCCCTTCCTCTTAATATATGCAGCTTGCTTGTACAAAGCAATCCTAACTATACCTGTGACTCCACCACCTGCTGCTGTGTGAATAATTATGTGCCTCAAAACTAAGGATTATGACCAATTAATGTATACTCAGGGGTACAAAAAAGGCTCTTTTTTTTTCAAAGAAATACTTTAAAAGCATTTTTTCCATGAGCAGGGCTCCTGAAACCCTCTCCCCTGCAGGTTCACTTCATGAGCTACACAGTCACCCTTGCCATTTCTATTCACTGAACAGGAGAGGGGCAGGTCAAAGGTGTTCTAAATAGGAAAAAAAACCTTGACTCTCCCCACCAAGGGGGGGGGGAAGGAGGGTTAAGCCTCAAGTAGAAATAAAGCTGAAATTAAGACTTGAAGCAAAAAAAATTAGTGAAAAGGCCCACCAAAAATCAACCTAGCCACACTAAACATTGAGAGATCCTTCCTTGCTACTTCAAATTTAACAAAGCCTGTCGGGACTTAAAAGGTATGCAAAATATCTTGGGGAACTTTTTTTACCCTTACATACTGAGAAAATTGATACATTAATTTTGGAGTTCAGCTGTGAGACAAATTCTCCATGCTTCACCCATACTGGATTACAAAAACAGTTCTAAAATAAGTGCTTGGACTTCTCTGGCTATAGAAACAGAAACAATGGCAAATTAAAAAAGGGGTAAAGTGCTCATTAAAAATCTCAAATGGGGGCCTGCCACTTAATTTGAACCTGGGAAACTACACTTAAATTCCAGACTGGATACACAGTAGAAGAGCTTGGGTACAAAATACCAGTCTAAGAATATTTGGGTGCAAATGCACCTGGTGTTCCCTAATCCAATCCCTCAAGGCCTCAGTTAGAATCATATAAACCCCCAGCATATGAAGCAACACCAGAAATGCAGTTGTAACAAAAGCTCTGAGTGAAGGCATCTTAACAATGCACGATGAATTTAGCAAATAAGTGTGAATGCATAATAAGCTTTCACTTTAATTTTACAAATTCAAAATTACCAAATAAAGTTTCAATGAATTTCAAGAGTCTTTACTATGTATACGTGAGCAGCTGTACTATACAAACATTTAGAACATATCTGAATCAATTCAATGAACAGATGAAAGCAAATTAAAAAGCAAAAACAATGCTGAAAAGGACAAGAACCTTTTCTAGGATTACATGAATTCTCTACTACTCTGTCCAAATACATTTATTGACAGAATTACATTAAAAAACCTTTAAGGCTTTAAAGAAAATCAGTCTTACTAAACATTAGTATCTACAGGGAAACTGCATTTGGAGAGAGAACTTAGCTGTAAGCAATGAGTTGATTTAAGACATGTTTATCCCCTAAGCAGTATGTTAGGAACATGCATACAGTGTAATTTTACCTCCAGGGCCAAACTGTTTATGGTTCACTGAAATCAACTTCAGTATTATGCCAACAGTAAAGCAGTTAAGTTCCTGCAGTCTCAGATGCTGATGGTGTACAGACGTTTAAATTAGTATAATGATAATACGGCCTCAAACACAGGGATTTTATTTTTCATGCTAAATCTCGGCATGTATCGACCTCCAATGGCTAGAAGAACAAACTAATGTATCAAATATACTAAAAGGACATTTAGGGGGAAAAACGTATTTGCTGTGAAGGAAATGTATATGAGATACTATTTACAAAAAATACCTTTTTTTCTTTATTATTTCTTTTCCATTCTTCTTCCCTCACCCTCTACCTTTTTATTTTTCATTTTGGTCTCATCTATTTAGAAGATAAACTCCTTAGAGTTTTTATATATTTCTCTAGAGTCTAGCACACAATGGGACTCCAATCCCGATTGGCCCTGTAGCTATTACTCTAATAAAATTAATGAAAAAAAGTCAGGAGTGCTGACACAGTCCAACTGCATAAACTGTTACAAACAATGAATATCGTCTATATATTTAGCTAGGAAAATATCATTAAATACAGCAAGGACTGACATTATTCTAATGGATGAAGAACACCAAAATACATTAGGAATCTGGCCATGCCCTCTACTCCAGAGGCTAAGATAGGTGGGATGAAATATGAAATATTCAATTACAATGTTATGCAACCCCAATTTTTTTTTATTTAGATGGAACAGTATAATTGCTGTAATTGCTGCTATTTATACATATCTCAAAGGGCCAGCACAAATATATCCCAATTTAGAACATGGCTGAATGAATATATAACATAGCTTATCTAACACTACAACTGGAAACGTCTGCATTTAATGACTTCTTATATTACTGATGATATACAATTGTCCAAATAAAAATTGAAAGATATTTTTTAAATTTTACCTTTTTGTCTTTTCTTTAAGGTATATGGAAAAATGTCTGTGCTTAATTCATAGATTCATAGATTGTAAGGGCTGGAAGGGACCTTGCAAGATCATTGGGTTCAGCCCCCCTGTACTAGGCAGGAAAGACAACTGGGGTCAAGTGACCCCAGCAAAGTGACCATCCAGTCTCCTCTTGAAGATTTCTAGGCTAGGTGATTGCACCACCACTGGAAGGAGTCTATTCCAGTCTGGACACCCTAGCTGTGAAGAAGTTTTTCCTAGTGTTAAGCCTGAAACGGTCTTCCAGGAGTCTGTGGTCATTACTCCTGGTTTTTCGCAAGGGTGCCATGGTTAACAACTGTTACTTGAGCCCCTGATGTATTCCCCTGATGTAGCGATAAGCTGCTACCAAGTCCCTTCTCAGCCTTCTCTTTTTTAGGCTGAAAAGTCCCAGGTCCCTCAGCCTTTCCTCGTATGGCTTGTCGTGCAAGTCTCTGATTATACGGGTGGCTGTTTTCTGGATTATCTCAAACTTTATGACGTCCTTGTTGAAGTGCAGCACCCAGAACCGGATGCAGTACTCCAGCTGTGGTCTCACCAATGCTGAGTAAAGTGGAAGAATCACTTCCTTGGTTTTGCTTGAAATGCACCAATTGATGCATGCCAGAGTATTATTTGCCCTGCTGGCTACAGCGTCGCACTGACAGCTTATATTCATACTGTGGTCTATTATTACCCCTAGGTCCCTTTCAGTCATGGTACTAGTCAATTTGGCGCTGCCAAGCCTGTAGGTATGCTGGGGACTGTTCGTCCCCAGGTGAAGCACTTAACATTTCTCGACATTGAACTTCATCTGGTTCTGATCCGCCCAACTTGCTAGCCTGTCTAGGTCCACCTATATCTGCAGCCTATCTTCAAGCGTGACCATGCTCCCCGCATAACTTGGTGTTGTCCAATAATTTGGCCAGTGAGCTCTTCACTCCCACATCCAAGTCATTGATAAAGATGTTAAAAAGAACTGGTCCAAGCACCGATCCCTGGCCACTTCTCACCAGGACGACACAGATCTATTCATTAGAACTCTCTGGGTCCTACCCCACAGCCAGCTTCCTGCCCACCTGTCATGCAGTTAAGCCCACAATCCTCCAATTTTCCCATGAGAACATCATGAGATACCAGATCAACGGCCTTTTATAAGTCAAGGTATACAATGTTGACCTCTTCTCTCTTATCCAGGTGAGTCACCTAGTCGTAGAAGGAGATGAAATTGGTAAGACAAGACCTGCCCGCGACAAACCCACGCTGACTGTCATTCAGAATCCTACCTTCTGCAAGCTTATCACACACAGATTCCTTAATGAAGTTTTCCAGGATTTTCCCTGGCATAGAAGTTAGGCTAATTGGTCTATAGTTACCCAGGTCCTCTCTCCTTCCCTTCCTGAAGATGGGCACAATACTGACCCTCTCCCAATCCTCAGGGACCTCTCCAGAGCACCACAAGTTTTGGAAGAGTTTCACCAGGGGTTCCACAATGACTTTGGTCAGTGTTTTCAGCACTCTCAAATGAAGTTCATCCGGTCCTGCTGATTTATATATGTCTAATTTTTTTTAACTGATCACACACCAGTACAATGTCAATAATAGGAAGGCTGTCATTCCCACCATGCCCATTCTGTGCCCTATCTGCCATGATTTTACCCTTGGCCCAGTGAAATACTAAAGCAAAGTAGTCATTCAGGAGTTCAGTTTTCTCCTGAGTGTCAGTAACCAGCTGTCCTGAGTTGTTGAGCAATGGCCCCACACTCCCATTTGTTTTCCTCCTGTTCCCTACAAACCTAAAGAAGAACTTCTTGTTGTCCTTGATTTCTGTTGCTAATTTTAGTTCAGTTGCCGCCTTAGCCTTTCTAATCTGCTCCCTACAAGTGTGGGCCATTTTTGTATAGTCCTCCTTGGGGACTGTCCCAAGCTTCCATTGTTTGTAAGCCTCTTCCTTCTTTAAGAGGACCATGATTTCCCTTTATAGCCAAGAGGGCTTCCCAGCCATTTTGCTATCATTCCTCTGCATGGGAATGGACTTCCTTTGTGCTTCAAGGATCGTGTCCTTAAGGAATGACCACTCTTAATGCATTCCTTTTGCCTTCGGTCCCAGGCCCTGCAGCACTTCCCCTACTATTGTTCTGAGCTTGTTGAAATTTGTATTTTTGAATTCCAAAACTTCAATCCTGCTATCTAATTTGCCTGCCTTGTGACAGACAGTGAACAGACAGTAATCATAGCTACATAAATAATCTCAGCTAGGCATAAGGCACAACCTCTTTGTTACAGACTCTCCAGAAACAAGACACCAAAAATGCAAATTAATAAATCTGGGGCCTAGTTAAATAATTTGGTAGTGGCAATCCCTCAATTTGAAGAGATTCTTTACCATGGCTCATAGATGGGTCTCGAGGTGACTTAAGAGCCCAATTCTTGAGCCAAAGGGGCCACCTGTAGATGTTACAGGTCTTTCACAGGGAAG